AGGTCCACCATATGTGGATCATGGTGCCTCTCTCTGCTCCGCATCTCCAGCAATTTTCGTCATTGTCCGGGTTCATGCGATGCAGTATGTCAGGGGTTCGGTACCAGGTGGTTAGTAGTTTATAGCTCATCTCCTGGAATTTTGAGCTAATAGAGCTTTTGTGTGTGAGTAGGAATATTTTATCCCATTCACGGGCCTCAAGTACCTCCCCCGTCTCCCTCTCCCATCTGGCGATGTATTTCGGTGGTGGTCTATTCTCACCCTCCAATAGCAGTGCATATAGCGTCGAGATCCCTCTCTCGATGTGTCGTCTACTGATGCATATTTTTTCAAAATATGTGGGGTCTCGGTGGAATTGCTGTTTGGCTGTCGCGGAGTTGTAGAAGGATTTGACCTGGTGATATCTGAACCGGTCGAGCATCGTTGGTGTAGTATCAGGGATTAGTTCGGGTATGGTTTTCAGTGCGCTGTTGTTGCACCATTGGCGTATATAGGACCAATCGGACCGGCCAAAGTTTCTTAGGTCAGCGGGTGACAGTCCTCCTCCAATGTCTGGGTTATGGGTGAGGGGTGTCAGCGGGTTGCTATGTGTCGTCAACTGGTAGGGGAATCGGAGAGCGCACCATACTTTTAGGGTTGCGGCTATCAGAGGGTTGCCGGTGTTGAGGGCGTTTGGTGTAATTCCCGTCCTCCATAGTTCCGAGGGTATTTTCCCCTCGGCCTGAGCTAGTTCTGCCCGCACCCATAGTTTCTCCGTTGGATGCGAGTGCCAGTCAGTGACCCTCAGCAAATGGGTTGCTCGGTAGTAGCCAATGATCGAGGGGAGTCCCGCTCCCCCCTGCAATTTGGGTAGCTCCAGTTGGAGCTTGCTGATTCTCGGAGCTCCTCTTTTCCATACGAAGTGTCGAATCGCGGTGGAAATATTGTGGAAAAAGGCCCGAGGGACGGTGATCGGGATTGTCTGGAAGAGATACAGAATGCGCGGGAGGATGTTCATTTTTATTGCGTTAATACGACCGAACCACGAAATGTAGAGGTCAGTCCATTTGGCCATGTCAGCCTGTAGGGAGGTGAGGATTGGGGCAAAATTAGCCTGGTAAAGATGTGAGAGGTCTTTAGTCAACCAAATGCCGAGATATTTCAATTTGGTACCGCACCATCTGAACCCGTAGTGGGAGCGTAGTTGCGCCCCGAGTGCGGCTGGGGCCGCGATGTTCATGGCCTCCGACTTGTCGGTGTTGAGTTTCAGGTTCGAGATCCTCCCAAATCGTTGGAATAGGCCTAGTGTGTTTGGGATGGAGATCAGGGGTTGTCCCAGGAAGAACAGCAGGTCATCGGCGTATGCCGCTACCCGATGTTCTACGTTCCCTATTGTATGTCCTGTGATTCCCCCGTCCATCCTGACCGCCTCCAGGAACGGTTCCAGGGAGAGGGCGAACAGCAGGGGGGACAGGGGGCACCCCTGTCGTGTGCCATTTCGTATAGGGATTGGCTCTGAGAGGGCACCGTTGACTCGTATTCGAGCCGTGGGTGTCGTGTAGAGTGCCGCTATCCATGTTCGGATATTAGGTCCGAGTCCCATGTGTTGTAGGGTGGCTGCGAGGTAGGCCCAGTCCACTCGGTCGAAGGCCTTTTCAGCGTCCGTGGAGAGGAGAGTAAGATGCCGACCCTGCCTTCGAGCCGAGTGGATAATGTTGAGGGCCCGTATGGTGTTGTCCCGTGATTCTCTGCCTGGGATGAAGCCCACCTGGTCCGGGTGGACCAGTGAGGGAAGCACCCCGGCAAGACGGAGGGCCATGGCCTTCGCAAACAACTTTAGGTCTGCATTCAGGAGGGAAATGGGGCGGTAACTCGCACAGCAGGCTGGATCTTTTCCCTCTTTAGGTAGGACCGTAACCACGGCCCTGAGGGTGTCCATCGGGAACTGTTCGCCCTCTAGCAGAGAGTTCAGGCCTGTCAACAGGTGCGGCAGCAGAACGTCTCTAAATGTGCGAAGGTAGCTCCCAGGGAGACCATCTGGACCCGGCGCCCTGTTTGATTTGGTTAGTTTAAGCGCCGCAGTTAGTTCCTCCAGGGACAGGGGCTGTTCCATGTTCGCGGCTTGGTCGGGGGTGAGTTTCCGGGTGACGTGTTTGGTGAGGAAGTCTGTTAGCTCGCGTTTGTGTTGTGCGGGGTGAAGTGCGCTGGGAGTGTCGGCCAGGTTATATAGGCTTGTGTAGTATTCCCTGAATGCTTGTAGGATCTCTGTTGGCAGTCTCGTTTCCTGTTGGCCATGGGCTTTTATTTTGTGAATGTGGGTTTGCCTCCGTCTCTGCTGCAAAGTCCGGGCCAGCAGTCTACCGCATTTATTCGAGTGTTCATAAAAAAAGCGGTGTGAGCTGCGTACCACTTTAAGCAACTTCTGCGAGAGTATGTCCCTAAGCTGTCTTCTCGCGTTGGTCAGTTGGAGGTAGATGTCTTCTGTCAGATCCCTTTTATGGGTGGATTCGAGTTCAGTTATCCGTTTAGTCAATTCAAGGATGCGTCTGGTGTTCTCCCGTTTGCGTTGTGTGCAAAGATTTATGTAGTGCCCCCTGATTACGCATTTGTGCGCCTCCCAGGTTGTCAAGGGGGACACGTCCGGGGTGGTGTTTGTTTCAAAATATTGGGTAAGGACCTGTGTGGTCAGCCTAGAGCATTCTGTATCCGATAGCATGGTTTCGTTTAATCGCCAATGGCGCTCCCGTGGCTTGAAGAGGGGCGATTGAATCTGGATGGACACAGGGGCGTGATCAGAGTCTCCTTGGATCCCAATGTCTGCAGTGATAAGCAGGGGGAGGAACTCTTGCGCGATAAAGATGTAATCTATCCTGCTGTATTGATTGTGGGGGGCAGAGTAGCAGGTATAATCCCTGCTGTCCGGGTGTGCCGCCCGCCAGCAGTCGGATAGGCCTAGTCTGTTGAGTGTTTGTTTGGTCCTGCGTATGCAGTGGTCTGGGATGGTGCTGTCACCCCTTGACGTGTCTACTCGAGGGTCCAGAGGGGTGTTCAAGTCACCCGCTAATATCAATAAGCCTTCCTTGAATTTGTCTAAGCGGGACAGTGCCTTAGCCAGGAATGTGTGTTGACCCCGGTTGGGGCAGTACACAGTAGCTAGGGTATACGGGCGATCTGCTATGGTTCCTTTTATGAAGAGATACCGACCCAGCGGGTCAACCAGTGTGGCGGTGCATTGGAAGGGCACCGTCCCTGCGAAGAGGATTGCCACCCCTGATTTTTTGGAGTCCTGGTGGTTCGCAAAGAAGCCCTGAGGGAATCTTTTATCATGTAATGTGGGGGCTGACCCATCTTTAAAGTGGGTCTCCTGCAGAAATGCCACGGAGACCTTCTGGGACCATAGTGTCCGTAGAAGATGTGAGTGCTTCTCGGGGATGTTCAAGCCCCTTATGTTGTTGGACCAGAACCGAAGCGGGGCTGATTGAAATTTTTGAGACATCGCGGCAGAGGCTGGCCAGGCTGGGATGGGGAAGTGGGAGGTGGGGTGGAGGGGTGAGGGGAAAAGAGAGAGGGGGGGGGAGAGAAGTTAGATATAATAAGTGGAGGGGGGGAGGAGAGATGTCGGGGAGAGCAAGTCTGTCGGTGACCGTCGGTGTGTGTGTGGGGGTGGAGGATAGTGTGGTCAGGGGTAAAAGACAACAGTGACCCAAGATCGGTCGTGTTCCCCAGGGGACGTCCGATCCGTCTATGGTCGGTAAGACCTCTGGGCCCGATCGAATTTACAAGCCGAGTCGGTTGTGTGGGGTTGTAGTAACCAGGTGGAGTGAAATTCTCATGGGGAAATTGAGGCTACTGCTTGTGCCCGGCTCAAGTGAGTTGCTCGGGTTACCTGAGCCTGGGGAGCCAATCGCTCGAGAACGTATCGCCGCCGTGAGCTGCAGACCCTTTGTGTATATATCAGAGAATTATGTAACAGTGGAGGAAGAGAAAAAAAAAAAAAAAAGGGGATAAATAAAATAAATTAGGAGGGGTTAACTTGAACATTATAGCATAAACTTGGCCTAACGTAGTATATTATTAAACGGCCGGAGCCAGGCCTGTCCCGCCTCATGGTCCCCTAACAGTCCTCGCCCATCTCTTTAGTCCCCCCCGCGGGTGTCAGCTACCCCCTGGAACGTCTGTGGTGCCTACCTCGGATCTCTCCTCCCCATTGTGTCTGTGTCTCAGGTCCCACTAGCCCAGTTAGAAGCCTCAGTTTATCGGGCCCTCTTATTCCCCAACCCGAGGCCTGGTGTGGTGCCCCCCCTATAAGCTTGGGCTAGGTATCATAGGCTTGTAGTGTCTGTCTTGTTGGCTACAGGGGGTGTAGTGTCGCCCCCCCCCCTCCCCGCACCACCCCGCACAGGCACCCGGCCCCGCTCCCCGCCTGCTCCCTCTGTGTCCCCCAAGCCCGCTAGTTCTACGAACTACCCTCCTGCACCCGAGCAAAACTAGTAAGGGGAACCTTTAACAGCCCCATGTGGAGGGATAGGAGTGCCCAGGTTGTGTGCCCAAGGCCCACCCGCGCCCCTATGATGGAGTGACCATGATCGTAGGGTAAGTTAGCCCTCCACACGTGTGGGTTTCGTGTCTGCTATCCCCCCTCCCAAGTAGGCTTTTCCCACCTGCAAGTAGGGTGAATTTCGTGTCTGCTATCCCTCCTCCCAAGTAGGCTTTTCCCACCCGCTGTAGCTTTCTGGATGGCTAAGTGTCCTGGGTTTTGTCCGTAAGGTGTGGGCTGGAGTTCTGAGGCAGTTAAATCCCGGAGCAGGCCGGGGCCCCCCGGGGGAGAAGGGGGGGGAGCAACCCAGCCAGCCTGGGCTTTGTCGTGGGGCACAGTTTTAGAGCAGAGAGGAGAGGCACATACCGCCAATGGGAGAAACCTCTGCAAGTCCAGGGTGTCCGCACCCGCCAGGTGTGCAGATGAAGGGGGGACCGCCATCCCGCGGGGGAGGGTGGATCTCAGACCCATGTGACTCCGGGCTTTATTCTTCGGGGCCGTCCGGTCCCCCTCTTCGTGGGGGCCTTTCCCTCCGGTTGCTAGGCGGTGTCGGACCAGCGGGGCCCGCAGGATGCTGTGGTGGACCCATCAAGATCCAGTTAGGTATGGCTACCGCAGGCAGGTCCAGGGCTCTCAGGAACCCGGGGACTTCGTTCGGCCATCTCAGCGTGCGCCATGCATTGTCCTTCCGGGCTTGCAGGCTAAAAGGGTGTCCCCATCTGTACGGGATCCTCCTATCTTGCAGCATTCGGGTAAGTGGACGTAGTGCTCGGCGGGCTTCCAGCGTCAGGGGCGAGAGATCTTGAAACAGGGACACCTGGGCGCCAAGATACGTGATGTTTTGTGATCTGGCCGCCTTCATAATGGCTTCTTTTAGTTGAAAAGATAGTAGACAGCATATAATGTCTCTGGGGGGTCCGTCGTTCCTAGGGGGTCGGAGTGCTCTGTGGGCTCTCTCAATATTGTAGGTGTCTGGGGCTTCCTCTCCCAGTACATCCGCGAAAAGTCGCTGCAGGATGTCGCTGAGGTCTTCCCCCGTTTGTTCTGGCAGGCCTCGCACGCGGATATTATTACGTCGTCCGCGGTTATCCAGGTCTTCGACCTGTCTTCTTAGATCCAGGAGGACGGTACCCTGCCTTGAGGTGGCATTGTCGGCAGCTTGGGAGTGTTGAGAGGCCAGCATACAATCAGCTTCCAGCTCAGTGACCCGCTGCTCCAGGGTGGTTAGATCATTTCTCACCTCTTGAATCTCTTCCCTGATGGCAGAGCGCATTTCCTGTACCAGGGTCACCTTGTCTGCCTTTGTCAGCATGTTGGAGGCTATGGCTGCTAACTCAGCAGATATCTGGGTTAGGGTGTCTGCTTGTGTGGAGCCTGCTATGGATCCGGCCGTGCTGCTTGTGCCTGGTGAATCAGGCGCCATTTTGCCCGACGGCCGCGTGTGTCTGAGGCCGTCAGGTGTGGACAGAAACTCGTCCATTGGGCCCCGCCTGCCGTTTCGGCGATGCCGTACCCGGCGGTCCGGGGGTCAGCTGACGTCGGGATTTCCCCATTGTGGCTGCCGGTGTGCTGTGAACAGGGGCTTTTGAGCCGGGGACTGCAGAGCCTCTCTTACTTGCGACCTACTCCATCGCCGGTCGGCCACGCCCCCGAAATTTAGTTTTTATCTACAGGGAGAAGTAGCAATGATCTTATTTTGTCATCCCCCTTATCCTCCTATATTCTTAATCAATCTTCTACCTTTGTAAAGTTTGCAGTCCCCCACGGGGAAGAAGGACATAAACAAAAACAAAAAAATAACAGCCTTTTTGCTGTGTATAACTTATCCAAATAGAATTGTACTGTTAGTTAAATTGGATGGAAGACATATTTTCAGGTGCTGCTGCTTGCTTCAGCTGCGAGATCAATGCGGGATTGCAGCCCACTCACACAATATAGTTATTTTCCTCCTTTCCGCCTTACCCTCTTTACATGCTCCTGCTTTAGTAAACAAGAGTCTATTCAGACGAGAAGAGGCATGGAAGGGCTGCAATAAATTCAACTCCTGTGGAATATTATGGCTCTGTCTCCTTGGGTTTTGCGGAACTGAGGCTTCTCACTATTTTGGCTTGTAGCTCTCCCTCATCTCAATGGGCTGACGAGTCGAGCGCGCGGATGTGCGAACGTTCGTGCATACGTCACATCGCTAAGCCCCCCCCTCCATAACATACATATGTCAACATTTATGTATATAAATATCTGAATTCAAAGACAAAACAATACATAAAGAGTACACTACTAAACAAGAAAAACAATAGAAGAAAGGCAAGTTCGGTCTCTCAAACAAATAAGAATGAAAAGAATCACAACAGACTCATCCATCAAAGGTTGGGATGCACATCTGGGACCACTTATGAGAAAAGAAATAAAGAAAAAAAAAGTAGATCAGGCTTCAAACTTCAAAGAGCTTTTGGCTGTCTTCAGTGCACTGCTAGTCTTCAGAGATCATATTTAAAGCAAAGATGTTTAAATCCAGTAAGACAATGACACCACAGTGTCATATAACAATCAACAATGCACAAGAAAAAAAAGGCTGGTGGACCTGTGCAAAAAAATAATGTCCTAGGCAGAAAGAAATGTGTCCATTAATTCAGCTATTCACATAAGAAGTATTTACAGCACCATAGCAGATGACCTAAGCAGCAGTTGTTGGAGCCAGTGGGAATAGTCTTTAAGCCCATCCATCCTCGATCATATCTATGTATGTATGTGATACATTGACCTAATGGGCAATAGGACACCCAGAAAAGTCCAAAGGTTTATTTCTCAATATCGGAAAGATTTTCCAGACTTTCTAGATACCATGTCCATCAAGTGGGAATTTCACAAAAGTTATGTGTTTTCCCCCTTACTGGTGCAGAAGATACAGGAAGACAAGAACCTTGTCATTGCAATCATTCCTAATTTGTCCAACAGGTTTTTGAAACAACTAAGGATGACAAGGGTCAGATTGTGGCAACTTCTGTTAGAGGGAAATATAAAATTTGTATTCACATATGGAATAAATTCATATTGTGGTGTCAGAAAGAAGGTGGTGACTTTTGAACCCATCTAAATGTGTAGGGAGGCTGTATGTGGTATTGCATGTGTGGGGATGCTGCCCAGGGCCGATCCTGGGAGAGTGGGCAGGTGCACGAGGTGCACAGCGCCCAGGTGCTCTGTGGGAAGAGGTGCATTGTGGAATTAGGCTCCGTCCTCTCAATTTATGTCCCATCTCTCTGTTTAGGTACCACCAGTGGTGTATCCTGGTTTTGTGCTGCCCTAGGCAGGACAAAACTCAGGCACCCCCCTCCCCCTGCGCCACCCCCACCCAACCCTTCCCCCCCACCCCACCTTCTAAATACACACACACAAACAGTCAGACACACACACAGTCAGACACACACACACACACAGTCAGACACAAACACACACAGTCAGACACACACACAGTCAGACATACAAACACACACACACAGTCAGACACACACACAGTCAGACACACACACGGTCACACACACACACAGACACACAGTCAGACACACACACACACAATCACTCACATTAACTCTTTTTTTTTTTTTTAAATTTACCCCCCCCCCCAGCCTCCTTACCTTTGAGAGTGCTGGGTGGGGGGGTTCCTCTCTCTCCCTGGTGGTCCAGTGGCTGCCGGTCGGGCTGATGGGCTGGCTGCTGGGCGGGCGGCTGTCGAGGGAGCACTTCCTCTGAGCTGACTGCTCAGCTCCCTCACACGCCGCAGAGTGTGGCTGGGAGCCGGGTTGATGACGTCATATTCCGGCTCCCAGCCTCACTCTGTGGCATGCGAGGGAGCTGAGCAGTCAGCTCAGAGGAAGAGCTCCCTCGCCAGCTGCCCGCCTGCCCACCAGCCAGCGCTGGAAAATGCTGCACAAGGCAAATGCCTTGTTTGCCTCGCGGCTAATACGTTCCTGGGTACCACCCACGTGCAATCATCTCCAGGCTCCTGGGACAATGTTAGCTTTGATCAGGGCAGGACAAAGCTTTAGATCTTCAACCAGACCACCTGGTAACAGGTCTCCCCCTGCCTGGCCAAAGGTAAGCCTCAGGGAGGGAGGGTATACTAGTGCTACTACAGTCCCTAACTCCCTCTACTACAGCCCCTAACCCCCTACTACAGCCCTTTTATCTAAATAGTAGCTTCTATTCCCACACTGCAGCCCCTAAACCCCCTACTAAAGTCAGTTATTCCCACTTTCACTTACTACAGTCTCTACCCTAAAGTATCCCTATCCCCCAACTGCAGCCCATATCCAGGGCCGGTGCAAGGATTTCTGCCGCCCAAGGCAAAGATGCATTTTGCTGCCCCCTCATGTCACTAACTAACTGGCAGACATACACTGGCAGACACACACACTCACTGACAGACACATACTCACTCATTGACACACATACACACTCACTGACAGACACTCACTCACTGACACACATACACACTCACTCACTGACAGACACTCACTGACAGACATACACTCACTGAAATACACACACACACACTCACTGACAGACATACACTCACTCATTAACAGACTGACAGACAGACATATACACACAAACACACACACACACACAGACACTCACTGACATACATACACTCACTCACTGACAGACACACACACACACACAGACACTCACTGACAGACACTGACAGACACACAAACACTCACTGACAAACACACACACACACACACACACACAGGTAGACATTCACTCACTGACACACTCAACCACTCACCTCCCTGGGATCCAAAGTGGGGCAGCTACTCATTCCTCCAGCGCGCCGTTTAGTATGCCGGCTCCTGGCATTACAGAGGGCGCATGAGGGAGGAGTGAGAGGCTGCAAGAACAACCTCACTCGCTGCATTCCTTCTATGTCCCCCTTTCCTCCGGGCACTGGCATTTTTTGGCAGAGCGGGCACCTGCCATCAAGATAAGCAGGTGCCTGTTCTGCCTTACCTAATACAGGTTCGGGGGTGCCCTGAGGTGGCCACCTCCTTTGCCCCCTGTGAGAGGGATCTTCTCAGCACCCCCACCTTCGGGCGCCTTGAGAATCGGCCCGGCGCTGGGGTCAGCTCAAGAACTGCTCATCCAGCGCTGCAGCCCCAGACAGGGACAGGCAGCCCACCAGGAAACATCCTGGTGGTACCCCCAGCAGGCCGGTGCCCTAGGCGAATGCCTAGTTTGCCTAACGGTGGCGCCGGACCTGCCCATATCCCACTTACAACAGCCCTTAAGCTCCCACTACAGCCCTTATAATCAAACAGAAGCCACTATTCCCTCCAATGCAGTCCCTATCCCTACTACAGCCTCCAACCCCCCTACTGCAGTCCCTTTCCCCCACTATAATCCCTACACCCAAACGTAGCCCCTATCCCCCACTACAGTCTTTGCCCCCAAAATGCAGCACCTATCCCTCCCACTGTAGCCAATTTGAGACCATATCCCCTAAACCTTGAACTACAACCTTTACCCCTCCCACTTGCAGCCCTTAGCCCCTACTACATCCCATACACCCCACTACAGCCCAAGTTTCCTTACTACAGACCCTCTCCTCCCCAACTGCAGCCCATACCCCCCTCCCCACCCTCTATAGCCCCTAGCTTCCTAATAGAAGCCTAAACGTATCAATTACAGACCCTATGTTCCCACCAGTGGCGGATCCAGAGCCTGATCTCGGGAGGGGCACTTGTAGATTATTTAAAGAAATAATCCAGACACAATAACCACTACAGCTCAGTGTAGTGGTTATGGTGTCAATAGTGCCGGGACCCCTCCCAGAGTAAGTAGTCAAACCGTTTAAGAACAGTTTGACAACTTACCTGAGGTCTGCTGGGAAATGGGGCTGTAGTAGGGCATATGAGCAGTGGTGTGTGTGAGTGGTGCAATGTGTAAGGGGTGCAGTATGTGTGTGTGTGTGTGTGTGTGAGAGGGAGACAGTGTGTGAGCAGTGTGTGTGTGTGAAGGTTGTAGTATGTGAGTGAGGGCGGCAGTGTATGTGTGTGTAACAGTTCCAGGGTGTGTGTGAGTATTGCAGTGTATGTGTGAGTGTGGGCAATGTGTGTGTATGGGGGGCGGTGTGTGTGTATGGGGGGCAATGTGTGTGTATGGGGGGCAGTGTGTGTGTATGAAGACTTAGTATGTGTGTATGGGGAGCAGTATATTATTAATATGTAGAGAACAGTATATGTGTGTATAGAGGCAATGTGTGTGTGTATAGAGGGCAGCCTCTGTGTATAGGGGCAATGTGTGTGTATGGAGGCAGTATAGGGGGGCAGTATGTGTATGGGGAGGCAGTGTGTGTATGGGGGGCAATGTGTGTGTGTGGGGGCAGTACTTGGGGGCAATGTGTGTGTATGGTGACAGTATGTATGGGGGGCAGTATGGGGGGCAATGTGTGTGTGTATGGGGGGCAGTATGTGTGTGGCA